CCTCTTCTCTGAGGTAGCAGTGGTAAGATGAAAGGTAATGGCCTAAAGTTGCACCAGAGGAAGCTTGGGTTGGATATAGCACTGAAGGACATGGTTAGTGGGCATGGTGGTGATGGGCTGATGGTTGGACTAGATGATCTTAGTGGTCTTTGCCAACCTTAATGATTTTATGATTCTAAGAGGTTGATGGTTTACACTGTATGTTACAGCGAGGACTAGAATACAAGAAAGTGATTCTGAAATTCTGAATTTTTATGTTCCAACAAGTTATTTGGGCAAAAGTTGAGGCCAGCTCTTTACAGTTGATCCCCCAGTAAAAAGATCTATCTGCAAACGTGAAGTATGTATGAGGCTTTTTCCTTTAAGCTCCAGCCTTGAAAGTGCCCCTCTGTGATTGCTGAAAGCCAGGTCCAGGAATTTCTTCTTTACATGAAAAAACGTCATTGTTCTTAGTCTACACAAGTGGGTCACTGAACTGTTGCTTGCCTTTGTGATGCCAGTGAATCCAAATTAGCTTGACTTCTATAAAGGATAGAGGGAAGGAAAGCAACCAGCATTAATCAGAGCAACACAAGCAGCTCTTCCAAAACAAATGAGCTTCAACAGTCAGCACACAGAGTCCTTCAGTCAGTGTGAACAAGCTGAACTTAGGCCAAACCTTGCATCAAAAAGAATAACTGGTTTAATATGTATCTGTGGAGTCTGCATTTGTTTCTTTTTCCTCCTCCCAATCCATCTGCAGGAAGCTATGAACAAACTGAGTGAAGCAGCATGGCTCATCTTACTGCAGCCAGCCCCTCTGTGCAATGTCCATTGCAACTAAGCTAATCACAGAATCAAAGAATCATAGGGCTTGGAAGGGACTCCTGGGAATCATCTGGTCTAACACACTCCTGCAGGTTCCCCACAGTGGGTTGCGCAGAAAAGCATCTAGGCAGGCCTTAAAATGCCCTATTTTTTTCTTTATAAAGTGATGATTTGCATGCGATTCATTTCCCTGTGAAATGTTTGCAAGGTTATTTGTTGAAAAAGTCCAGAATTTAGAGACGAAGAGAAGAGGTGTGTTAAGAGAGGAAATCTTATGTTAGACATCTCTGTAAGGTAACAGTATAGGAAGCAACTCCTCTCTGTGAGTGTAAAATAAGTCCAAACATCTATCTCAAACATACATTCTTCAACTATAGACACTTGTGTTTTCTTCAGTAAACCCTTAAGACAAGAGGTAATGACTCTAAGTTGCTCCAGGAGAGGTTCAGGTTGACTATTAGGAAAAATTTCTTCTCAGAAAGAGTGTTCAGGTATTGCAACAAGCTTCCCAGGGAGATGGTGGAGTCCCTGTCCCTGGAAGCATTCAAGAAACATGGAGATGTGGCACTAATGGACATGGTTAGTGAACATGTTGGGTATGGGTTGATGGTTGGACTACATGACCTTAGTGATCTCTTCCAACCTTAATGATTCTATGATTCCATGACTCTACCTTCCAAAGAGCAATTCACCCTGTGTTAAAATTGTTGTCTTAAGATGAGTGGGACAAATAATCTCCTGAAGGGGTATAGACATTGACAATTTAGGAAAGAAATATAGGCCACTGGTTTTAAATGCTAAGAGTCACCATGTCTTCTTCAGGTCCAAGAGATGTGAGATACTCATGAGGTCTACCAGATATAAGAAAGGAAAGACAGTGAAGCAAGTCTACCACTGGAGAATATCTGTCAGATTTATCATTCAGTTGTTAATTTTCCAACTTGTCTTTTCTAGAGAAAAGCAAGGTAACAACGTGAAATTGTTGAGTTGAAGTGATGACAAGGTGTTTCATATGGAACACTTTCATCATGCATTTTTCTGCATGTACTGCAGTCATTCTGCTTAACCATTATCTCTAGTTAAAAAAAAAAAAAAAAGTTTAAACACTAACTTCTCTAGTAATAATAATTGAAAATGAAAAGAAAAAAACCCTAAGAATTTCAAAAATTTGAAAACATGTATTTCCTTCAAAGATGTGACAGCTCCCACTAAACTTTTTGTGGCTTTGGGATGCAATATTTTCTTTGCTCATGATTAACTGCAAGTTCAACTATCACATCTTATATTGCAATGAAGATATAACAAACACGCATCACCCAATATAAGTCAAGTAATGCTGAAAATATATCAAATGATTTACAATCTCATCAAAATATTTGTGGAAATAAATGATTATGACATGAGACATTTCTGCTACATCACGAATAGACATAAGCATTATGTTTATTGCTAGATTTCTACGGTGCCCACAGAACCTCTGTAATATCTGAGCACAACAGAGTGCTTAGTGAATTCACCTGGTGAAGCAGAGAAGTGCTATTGTCAGGGAGTAAAGCCAATTATGGTACTCAGCATGGACTCAGAGACTTTCCATGGCATGTAAGATCAGGAGTGTAAAGAGCAATTGAGACAATCTACCCTCTTGGCTGTCTTACTCTGCCTTCTACAACAGCAGTTGTACCTACCCCATGATGCAGCCAATTGGCTTTTTTATTGTTTTAAGGTGACTGGTGTTTTTATCTATTCGCTTTTTATTCTTGGTGGAGCGAGAGCCTCTTTCAAAATTTAAAACACAAGCAAAAGAACTCAGTGGGAAGATATTTACACCTGTTTAAATATTTCTATTGTTGCATTAAGCCTAAATGTTTCATTTTGAAAAAAGTTGAAGAAAAGATTTACTGATGCTTTGTTATGTTAATGGATGGACTGGGACTCCAAGTTGTATTGTTGATGCACTGCACTGCATTATATGCAAACATTATGCTAAATAACCTGTCACTTAAGTCTTTGTTCCTGGCAGAAATTTCTTCATTAAGGTCTACAGTAGGTGTTCTGCTTAAATTTTTCAGCCGTGTTTTCCTGATTTCTTCATCAGGATTCCTGATTTCTTAATCTATATATGCATTTGTCAATACTTTCACAAAATACTACTTGCACACAAACACATATTGATATATACATGTGTATGTATATAGCTATAAGTAGGGATATCTGTAAGCCATTCTGCATTACAGGAGAATCACACCATGCTAGGGGTCGTAGGTAATAACCAAATACATTATTGAACCAACAACTTAAAAAAATAGGAAAACTAACCAGTAAGTTGTAAAAACCATTGATCTCCAAGCAGCACAGAACAATACAAACAATACGGAAGTTTTAAAGGGTGTAAAATTATAGCAGCTCCCTTGAAAGCAGTTGACTCACAAAGCCATCTGGGTGATGATTCTACCAAATCCATCCTCCTTTTCTAAAACAGCCAGAACTAGCCATACAACCTGGAAGGACAACCTACACTTACTTGCACTATCCATACATCCAGCAGTGGCACCAGCATCAATTCCTCCAAAAAATCTTGAGGGATGTGTGACCAGAGCCACTCTTGTCACATTACTAAACAAATGTCTTTTCAGATATAATATGAGCAGATATCAGGACACAAAACACCAATTTACAAATACCTCATACAGCAGGCCAGCAATCAAAGTCACAACCTTTTCACTCCATCTTCCATCCATATCTCATGGAAGAGGTGACATGGAGACAGCTGTGGTTGTACACAGTGATCCTCATCCAGCTACCAATCCCCTACAGCAGACGTGGACTGCAGATTTTCTTTGGCAGCAGAATTTATCTAAGTGATATTCTCAGTGTTTTCCCATCAGTAACAGTCGGTGCATGTCTCTTTATGCTCACAGCAGTGGTTGACTTGTTAAGACCGGCTATATCTTCATCTTGATCAACATATTTGAAGAATAAAGGACTTCCTAACTGGGTAGGTTATTTCAGCAGCTCCTGCTGGTTGAAGAAAGCAGGTCCTTTATACTGCTCTGAGTTCATTTTCTGCCTGACTACTCCGACCTTCCTAGCTCAAATTGTCATTAACTCATTTACGCTTTGCGATCTGCTCTACTGTCAAGTATTAAATTTATTCATGTCTCATTTTAGATTTCCCACTCTAAAAATGCAACAGTCTATTTTCAAGGCAAATGCAGGATTAAATGCATGGTAAAACACATTATCTTGAATATATACGGCTTTAAAACCAAAATGTAGCTGAAGACCACATCTAGTTTCCATAATATCAAAGTTCTACAAAACTTCTTATTACTCACAATTCTACATTTCACCAGAAAATGAGTTGTAGATAATTTTAAAATCACATTACCCTCTTTTAATGCAGTAAAATGCCTATGATTCCTCCTCCTTCAGGCTGGAGCTTCATCCCAGACCTGCAGAATTCATTGTGTCCAAGGACCAAAGAGGAAGCACTAAGTATTCACACTCACCTCAGCTACATTTTGTCATAACAATACTCTAGATACACGAAAATCATCTTGAAATTGAACAAAATGGTTTATGAGTGAGGAAAAGAATGAAACTGGAGCAGCTTTTCTTATGTCAGTTTAATGTAAGAAATAACCTTTTTTTTTTTTTTTTTTTTTTTTGTATGTGTGTATTTTATTCTTGCTCCAGTGAAGAAAAACAGAAGGGAAAAAAAAAATACCCAACCCACAAGTTGCCTTTAAAAAGTGCTGAACACAATTTCCATAGCCATTATTCACCAACCACATCATGTCTTTTGGCAGTTCTGCTGTTTTTGAAAAGCACTATTGCCCGATTCTTAGGAAACACTCCCATAAGAAACACATACACACTTAAATGATATACTTTTTATGACGTTTTTCCAAGAACAAGAATAGCTAATTGTTGAGTTTCCTACTGGGAAATGGCTCTTTAATATGCAGATCTCTAAATGACTACTCTAATGCCAATCGCCAATGCTACAATAATTCAATCACATACATTTGCATGTAAACACATAGCTCTTACTTATAATATGCTTAATCATCTTTCCAGGTAGCACAAATCCAATGCAACCCGTGTGCCATGTGGTTCACAGACGTGAAGTGTACACTTTATTTTAAATACTACTACTGAATGTATCTTTAATGTGTTTTAGATCAACTTACTTGGTGCTGACTTGCTTTTGCCAACTGCTCATTGGCTGATTCTACATTAGAAGATGCAGTCTCAATGTTGGCTTCAATACTGTCTGCAAATTAAGATAACAGAAGATAATTACAGGGTGCAAACCTAAAACAAAAGCCTTATACTGACAGCGATTCAGCAGTTTACATGCGTGCATAAAAAGAGAAGCAGCATTTTCTGCAAGACTTTGCAATACAGAGAAAGAGGAATGCTATGCATTTTGATGACTGAAGACACCTAACCAATCAGAGGCAGTATGATTGATACCTCTCTGTGTGTCCTCAGATAATAGAATCATGGTATCATAGAATAACCTGAGCTGGAAGGGATCCACAAGGTTCACAGAATCCAACTCCTGGTTCCATTCAGGACCACCAAAAATCCCCTCAGCCTCCTCTTCTCTGGGCTGAATAAACAAAGGCGACCTCAGCTGCTCCTCATACACAACCCCCCTCCCCCCCCAGACCCTTCACCATCTTCATATATCCCCTTCTGGATGCTCTCTAGTAGCTTTATGTTCATTTGAAATTGTGGTGCCCAAACCTAAAAACAGTGTTTGAGGTGAACCTACAGCAGTGCAGAGTAGGGAGGTTATAATCTCATTCCTCTCCCACTACATCCAATGGAAAAACTGGATGCTCTGAACATTCAGAGCATTTCAGCTGAAGAAAGGCAAATCCACTGGATTAGAGATAAATTACAGAAGTAACGTGGTAGATTGTATCTGGTATTATCTCAAAGAGCATGGAAATAAACTTTATCTCAATATGCGTGGGTTATACATTTAGGTCTCTATTTAAGCAAGCACCCTCAGATGCTGCAGCAGTTAGCAGGATGTGATTCATTCCAATCCACTAGCTACCTGCCACTGATCAGATCAGATGAATCACAACTTCAACTCCTGGATCACATTTCCAGGCTCCAAGAGAGGTCTGCACAGATGGCTTAGAATGAGACAAATTGCCACTGTCTAAAATTAAGGGAGATGAATCTCATCCTAAACTGCTAGGTCTGAGGTTGTGGAAGCTGAGGGAAACATGTGGAATCAAAATGAGACTAGAAAAGGAAGACTGACAGCTACACCTTGAGTGAGAAATCCTCACTTCCATCAAAGACAAGTTTAAATTTTGGCTCCACCACTGTGCTTAGAATGCAAGATATTTACGATATAAAACTTGCAATTAAAGGTTTGCACTTTCAATTGAAAACCTTAGAAATCTTCACCAATTTGTGCGCTGAGAGATGTCAATAATTTCTGGCCACAGTACGAGAATATGTACACTTAATTTGTCTAAGACTTGCCATTGAAGATTCAAGTAACATTTATTTACATAGTTATTCATTTGTTTATTTATTTAGAGTGAAAACCTGCAGATAAAATGTGGAACAACACCCCTTCCTCCCCAACTTCATCTTAGCACCTAGAAACTTATTGCAACTCTTTCTTCACACCTCTGACGGTTGTGTTTTTTCCCATTCATTTTACTACCTTATGACCTTAATTGTCATTACTGAGATCTGTACAAATGCTTCCCTTGCCATCAGGATTGTTTCCAATGATCACAACTCCAGGCTATGAAAAAACATCAAATTTGCTTGTACAGAACCTTAGAACATTTGAGTCCACAAACTCGCACATATCAGTGTACCAACCAAGTATTGCAACAATCTGAATGTTTTCCAGGGAAAGTGACAGATGTTTCTCTTCCCCTTTTCTTCTCAATTCCAGCAGAAAGTGACGGTGCTGAATTACAAAAACTGATGAACAGAAACATGAATGGTAAGACTGCACACTGCAGTGAGCACTATTTTTGTCGTGTGTGTGGATCTACCCAAGGTCTACTTCAAACAAGTACCTAAGTGCTGCAAATGAAACATGACAGGCACTTTTCAACCTCTCACTTAACAATGAGGCTCAAGGCAAGTTTCCAAGTGAAACCCTGCTACTACATGCCCACTTCTACTATCACTGTTAAATTAATTTTATACTTATGTTCAAAAACAATAGATATCCTGTCTCCAGGACTGGCCTTGATGTCTTTGCAGCCAGAAATTGAAGTTAACCAATAAATCAGTAAGGAGTTGTTCTAAATATTTTATATGAATAGTAGAAGTACAGTTGATGTCTTCTGGCTAGAACTGAGGAATAGCTTGGAAATAGGAAGTCCTTTTTTTCCATGTTTGTAAGCTAGGACAGACCTGTGTAATTGGCAACTAATCATTGAGACAACACTGGTTTGCATCAATTCAAATTCAAATCCTGACCATTCAATAACATATTACCCCATTCCATGGGGTAGTCATGTCCTACTCATCACGTTTTGCAACCACCATCCTGTTTTTTTCCAGCACAGGCTTTCCCAGGTAGGATGGTCAAGTGCTGTATGTCCTACACAAGTTGATGTGATGTTACAGGAGGTGACTGGGTCCTGGTGACAAAGTTTCTGCTCACTTGTTCTCCTAACAGCAGAATAGCAGCTTTGAAATGAGCAGAACTCCAACTTAAATTTTCTTTGTAAAAATCTGTAATCCTGAGAGGAGCAGACAAAAACAAATAAACAAGCAAAACTCTATAAAAATGAGACATAAATATGTAACACTATATAACTGCGTATTTCTGCTGATTTATGCAGGAAAGCAAGAGAATAAATTGAGAATTTGGGTCAAATCACAAGGAAGTACACAGACCATATCAATAAGTCAAGAATAAATGTGTCACTCAGCAGATGTCAGCACATCTCTGCCAAATGATAGTGATTGCTCAGAGCTTCACCTTGCTTATGTTCAGGCTTCTTTCCAAGGCTGGGGACTGAGAAGCAAGTAATTCCAAAGGGATGTTAAGCTGTTAAGAAGACAGGAGCATCAGCTGGGTATGACTTTTCCTTTGTCCACTGCTTTTAGCATGAAAAGACAGTGAACTTGCTCCCAAATAGGTGAAATAACTCAGCTCTGAGAGTAGGGTTTTCAAAGGGTCTCGGTACTCTGAATCTCATAATGACTTCCCATCTTCATTCAGTGATGATGAATTTATGACTGTGGTACATTTTGGAAACAAACAAAAACTTTAAGGCAATGTGACCACCATTTTATGAAACTGAGGGACAAGGCTGCACCAAAGCAGATGGCTGCTGTATCGAGGAATTAAGAAAAGACATTTCATTTTCCTGCCTAAACGCATCTTTTCAATAGGAAGGCAGCAGAGCTGAGTGGCTTTTAGATGTAACTCAATATGATTTTATGACACACTTGTCACACAGAGACAGAAGTCATGATGACCCTCAGAGGGCTCGTTAACCCTATCTATTTACCTGTCTTATGAGATCAAACCCTGCTAATGGCCAACAGGAGTCTTCTGTGTGAAATTACTGGAGCAATAGGGGCTGGAGTGGGGTTTTTGTCCAAATATATCAAGGAATCACCCCTATGACCTATGTCTTTATAGTGGCAACAATGGACTGGTTTCACAAGGCAGCATTTTCAGTAGAGCTGTTTGAAAGACAGGAAAGTGAGCTTGTAAATGAAAATTCTAAAATGCTCCCACTTGGCTATAATCAAAACGGGCCCCTTCAGGTTTCACAGTATGCTTTTATTTTTAGCACTCCAATAAGCTTAACCCTGTTTCTTCACTATAACTTCTGACAAGAATAATCTATGCAGCACACTGAGAAGCACAACATTAAGAAAAAAAAAAAAAGAATGTTTTTGTAATATGCAAAGTTTTCTTTCTTAATTAAAAGCCAAATTTGAGGGTGAAATTGCTGTCAGCATGAAAAAGAATTTTTCCTGTTTTAATCGCCATGTTCTTGAGTTTTAAGTGAGTTTCATTGCACGAAAAAAGAGGCTCAGGCTTTCCACAGGCATGACTGCTGATGTTAAATGAAGGAAAGCTACGGCAGTTTTTCTACAGTGAAGTTTGAAATGACTTAGGGTTAGGCATTTGCAAACTTCTATGTATATGTCATTTACAAATTCAGCACAGGATTTGTAAAATAATCTCTCCTGCTTGCTGAACTAGGGCTAAATGGGTCACATTGGTATAGAGTGTTATAGGGAAATTTTGGTGAGGTATTGGATCAGGCTGCCCAGGGAGGTGGTGGAGTCATTGTCCCTGGAGACGTTCAAGAAAAGGGCAGATGTGGCACTGGGGGACTGGTTTAGTGAACATGGTGGGATGGGTTGATGGTTGGACTAGATGATCTTAGTGGCCTTTTCCAACCTGAATGATTCTATGAAATACAATTTGCAGCAGCAAGAGCTGTGATTCCAATAAAAGCAGATAGTATCTTGCTTTCTATTTGACTTTAGCAGTCCTCTGATTCTCCCACATGGTAACACACCACAACCGGTAGGGCAACAACTGCTCAAGCTAATTTTCCAAGCAGATCTGAAAAGACTATTGTAGCTGTCTTAAAATGTCATAACCAGCTCTTCCTGCTGATTTTCTTCAGTCAACAGACCAAAGCCCAAGTCTGAATGAATATAAACGGCTATAAGACAATGGCCGAACGCTAGCATAAATTTATAGCACTTCAGCTCCTGAGTGATTTATACTGCCTTGGAAATGTCAAGTATCTGTTGAATATGCATGCACTGAAAAAAATGGTATCGCCGTGCCAATGGTTCACCATGCCTGCCAGGATGTATCTTCCAGGGATTTAAAATTCAAACGTCATCTTGGGTTAATCTATTGGAAAAAAGCATTTCCTATCAGAGAATAAGGTGCCTCATATCACTGTTCAGTGCTAAAGGACAGAGTACAGGACTACTTTAGTAGGTGGAAAGTAATTTGCTTTTCTTTCTTATGGAGAAACAAGTGGTCTCAAATAACTGGTATTTTACCATAATTCAGCTCATGTAGGTTCATGGTATGGCTTGTCTTCCCATTGCTCAGCAATCTGAGGTATCCAATGTTCCTATATGATGCTCTCAACTGGCTTTGGGTGCTCTCAGGCTCTCCTTTTCATAGTCCCAAATTTGAACATGGGAGGATATTATGCCATGGCAAAGAATCAATTCACCGTTCTTAAAATTCTCTTCTTTTTCTTTCTTTCTTTTTCCGATGAA